TCCTCCAACAGATTGCACTCCAGCTGGACCAACAGTGTCCATATGTAATAGCTGTCCCGGTGCATCCATCATCACAGAAACAATAGGAGCATGTGAAGTAGAAACCATCTTAGCATGACGACACGGTGTACAAACCAAATCAAGATCTTTCTTAAGTTTAGGCAAACCACGAACAAGATCCAAACCACTTAGCCTAGTGAGATGATCAAAACCAACATGTCCAAGTCTACGATGCCAAAACATCACATCTTTATCAAACTTAGCAACCAAACATGTTATCACAGGTGAAACAGAATTTTCAAAATCAGCTTTAAACACTCTTCCATAACGAGAAATATTCAGCACAGAATCACCACAAGAATCAAAAACTTTACTTCCAGTTTTCTTAAAGTGAACCTCAAAATTTTCATCAACAATTTGTGAAACTGAAAGCAAATTGTACTTTAAATCCTTAACCAAAGCTACATTCTTCAATTCAAATTTTTCATTTACCTTAACCAAACCTGTAGCGACAACGGCACTAGTAGAAGCATCAGCAAAGACAATTGATTCAGTCTTGGATGCCTTTTTGAGGGAGGAGAACCAATTTTTATCACCGGTCATGTGCCGTGAATAACCGGAATCCACGATCCACACGTTCTCCTTCCTTGCCACAAAAGCCTACACACAAGCAGAAGTCGAAGCCTCAGTACTGGGGTTAGATAATAAAAATTTAGGAATCCAGTACTGAGACACACGACCAGAAGATCCAATAGGCATATATCCACGTGCAAAATCAATTTTAGAATTTTCAGAAAAATTCCTCTGAAGCCGGTCTGACCGAGGTACAGTAGCCGGTTTGACCGGGAGCCGGTCTGACCGCCTCTGTACCGCCGGTCTGACCGGTGCCCGGTCTGACCGAGGTTGTTCAGCCGGTCTGACCGGTCGCCGGTCTGACCGCGGGACCCACTGCGGTCTGACCGATTTCCTCGAGGGAAAACCCGATTTTTGCCACTTTGATTTTGCAAAAGCAATTTCTCTCTCCTTTTTCTGTTTATGAGCTAATCTGAAACAAAATTCAACAATATGTCCATCTTTTCCACAAAAAGAACAAGTATATTTTTCACATTGTTTAGACACATTGTTAGAGCAAGAAGATTTAGCAACACAAGCAGAAACAGGAGGTTTTGCACGCACAACATTGGATTTTGAAGAAGATGCACTTATAGTAGACATGATACCAGCAGATTTAAACACAGTTTTATTTGTATCAGGTTTAATCAAAATCTCACCTCTTCTAGCACCAACACCTAACACAACAGGAGGATGTCTAGAATTATGAGCATAAGGATCAAAACCTAAACCACGGTTATTTGTGCTAACCTTTGATTGATCCAAAATCATGTTGAGGTTCTTTTTAGCATCAGAAAATCTTAGCAAAGAATTTTTCAAATAAGAAACCTCTTTTTCCAAATTAACACAATTTTCACAATCTACCATGACACCTTTGCTTTTACGGCATTTGGGGCAAGAAAGCACTTCATTGTTTTTCACAATATCTTCCATGTACTCAACACGACCTAAAGTATCTTTTAGTTTCATCTTATTCAAATTACATGTTGAGCAATCCAAAACATCATGAGGTTGTTTTAACTTTTTAGCAGAAATCATGTTAAACATCAAAACTAGCATGAAAAGCAATTTGATATTTTTGCAATAACTTTTTAGTTAAAAACAACTCATCCAAAATGCGTGTGTGCAAAGCAAAACAACAAGCAAGAGAAGATCTATTTTTCAAATCTTGTGCAGCATTAACATCTCTAATTTTTGAAATCTCATTCATTAAAACCTCATAATTTTCACAATCATCATCATTAGGAATAAGAGATTTTAACCTATCAATTTTAGATTTAAGAGATTCAATGATAAATTCCTGTTTTTTATACATCTTCTCACACTTTTTATTTTTTGCACTCAAAATATTAATAGCTTCCTCAAAAGCACTCACCTCATTGTCTTCATACTCTGTGTCAGATTCACCACGCGCCATGAAGCAAACATCGGAGACGTTCTTTCCCTTGTCATCATCTCCACTTTCACCATCTACATCACTTAGTGGCTCGAAAGCGGCGCAAACTTGTTGAAAAGCCTTCCTAAGATTCTCCATCTTCCTCCCTTAGTTAGAACCCTTTGACTTGTTGTAGTTGTTGGGCTTGTTGTTGTTGGTCTTCTCACCATCTTTGTCTTCTCTTTTTCCTCTCCCAAGCTTAGGACAATGCGAACGAAGATGATCAATTGAACCACATTCAAAGCAACGATTTGGACCACCTCTTTTCCTGTTCCTGGCATTATTCATAGCTCGAGTAATTCGATTAGCAACCAAAGCCAAATCCTCCTCCTCGATTTGTTCGAGTTGATCATCGGATGTGGCATTAAAAGCAGCAAGAAAAGAAGGCATAGATGAAGAAGCATCAACAACCAAAGAAGAAGAAGAAGAAACCAAAGCACTCGATTTAGAATCAACTTTGCGAGAAAGAATATTCATCTCATGTGTTTTCAATTTAGTATAAAGTGAATCCAAAGTCAAAGTAGACATGTTAACAGACTCCTGAATAGATGTAACTTTCATCTCCCAAATAGACATGTCGAGACCATTCAAAAAATGACGAGAAATCTCATATTGTGGATAATTAGCATCATAAGAAGAATCAACAGATCTAAGATCACTCAAAATTTTATTAAACCTAGAAAGATAGTCATCCAAAGCTTCTCCAGGTTTCATCTCAAATTTAATGTATTCCTTTTTAAAAAGATCTCGACGAAGCTCTTTAATATTATTTGTTCCTTGATGAAAATTCTTTAAAGCGTTCCAAATCTCATGAGCAGTTTCAAGATGTGCAACACGATCATAGTCAGAACGAGAAATTCCACTCAAAAGAATATTACGAGCTTTGCAATTATTTTCAAACTCAGTTTTTAAAGCATCAGTATTAATGGCTTCAGGAATCACATAAGGATGAGAAACTTTCCTCCAAATATCATAATTTTCAGCCATAATGTAAGATTGCATCTTACTACACCAATGAGGAAAATCAGTTCCATCGAAAATATGAGGCTTAGTTGAAAACCTAGCGGGAGTAGCCATGGCAAAAACTTTAGATCGATAAAAATCCAAAGAAGAAAACGAGGCTCTGATACCACTTGTAGGATCGAATCACAAGAACTAAGCCAACCAGAGGGGGGTGAATGGTTGGTATACCCAAAAACCGAAAACTTTTAGTGGAAATAAAAGTTACCCTCGAAATCGATGGACCGCGGTCTGACCGAAGTAGTTGCGCCGGTCTGACCACCTGATGCACGTCGGTCTGACCGATGTAGATCGATCGGTCGAACCGCCGAAAACCCTTGTAGCCGACTCCTGTCGCCGCCGGTCTGACCGCCGCGATGCCGCTGGTCTGACCGCCGGTGCGCCGCCGGTTAGACCGCCGAAACCCGGTGAAACACAAATCGAAGAACTCTTAAAGTGGATGACGACTTTATTACTTCTCTCTGTGTTTACAAAGTGCACCAACAGCACTCCTTACAAAAATTTCGACTAAACTCGAAACCCTAACTCAAAACTCAACTCAATTGCTCTCTAAAGTGATACCGGGAAGCCTCACGGTCCCTCTCTATTTATACATGAGGTAGGCAGCCTAAAGCCACGAACCAAACTCATACTAGGAGTCCTAAACACCTTAGGAAACCCACTAGTACAAGAAAGAAACTTTACATAACCAATCATACCAAATTTGGACTCCTTCCAAATTCGACTCCGCATCCCATACGCACACAATAACTCCATCGTATGACATATGGAAACTCTATCAACCACGTGCATCAACTCTTGCCTAAGTATCCCGCATGATCTCTGACCACCACGGACGTCGTCTTATCCCCAAGTCGACTCCCGGTCCATCACCGCAAATACTCTCCCGAGACATCGAGTCACCTACACACGGAACAAACAAAGAAACCATATTCCGAGACCAAGCTATCTCCAACTTGACTCATTAGCAGCAAACAATAGTATTACATACGTATAGTATCCATCTAGAAGTCATAATCATGGAATAAACTCGGATATCCAAATAAACAACCCGAAACCGAAACCGACACAGTGTTGGCCGGTCAGACCGCGGGCTGCGCCGGTCTGACCGCGCATTACACGCCGGTATGTCCGGCTACCAGAGCCCGGTCTGACCGGTCCACATAAAACCACAGCAGTACCTGTATATTCACCTGTGAAATCCAATCATCTCCAAAACTACTTCGTGAATAAATTCCAAATAACAAAACCAATAAACTCCAATGCCCAATTGTTCATCACAGAATAATAATCAAAAACATCTTTGATTTTACACCTTATAATTTGGGACAGAGGGAGTCACCTGTTATTTGGTTATTTACGTTGCATTCCTCTAAAACTATTCTGATGTTTCTCACAACCATCCAAACACAACCATTCCCTATATAATTCCAATAGTTTCAAATCCTCTGATTTGCATATGTGTTCCTACCAATTTTTTGAGTTTTCTTTTCTATTCCTCCATTTTACCTTTCCTGCATTTCAAAGAAACACTTTGTTCATGTCTACAAACTTGTAGCATTTTCTGGTGCTTTTCCTATAATCGAAGAGGGATGAGAGCTTATGCTCCTCTGTTTCTTACCAAAAGAAACAGAGTTTGTTTGCAAAATTACAGCATAGGAGGCAGGCAGGTTCAATCACAAATTTGCACCACCTGGATAATAGCCTTTGGACTAAAATCGGAGGGATGAGGATGCTCGAGTCCATGAGTGCACCTGATGAGTAATAAGAGCTGTCGATGTTAACAAAGAATTATTAACATAAAAAGTCAAAAGAATTATTTGGTAAAAAGTTTCTATTTCATCACACTTCATACGCTTCATTTAATAAACATTTATCGGCTCGATTAAATTTGAATTAGAACACAAATTTTTAATAGATCACACATACTAAATCAAGATCAGAAAGAGAAAATATATGAGCGAAATTTGTCTCATAATACAGTTCATAAAAGCATTCAGACATACTCTTACATGGAACCATCAGGCTGAAAAGATAATAAGTACTACCAGATGATGATACTAATTGCGAACATTAACAACTTGATGCAGTGGCCTATATGGTCATCGCACTAGTAGAAATAGTCAGGGTTGAATTTACCGAACTCGTCAAAATTAGTGTCGTCATCAAACGGATCAATGCTGCTGTACTGGCCATGATAAGCGAAGTACTCATCAAAATATACCATCATCATCAGCAGCAGTGGCAGCGGCAGCAGCATCAACATCAGAGAATAAGGGCAGCTTGAGCGTCTTGATCGAGGCGCATTTCGCAGGCAGGGCGCCGTCGACGACGATGTCACGCCGCAGGAAGCACTCGCTCACGTCAAGAAGCTCCAGGCGAGGGCAGCCATCGACGATGGCCGTCAGCTCTCTGCTGCGGACGCGGACGCCCTCGAGCGTCAGGCGTCGCAGCCCGTGCATCGCCGCGATCGTAAGCAGCATGTCGTCGTCATCCCACCAACCCAAGCGCCTGCGTACCTCGAGGCGCTTGAGCCGCGGGCACGCCTCGACGACGGTGGCGTAGACGTCGCCGCGGATGCTTTGGCAGTAGTTGAGCACGAGGTCCTCCAGCAATGGAGACTTGGTGATCAGCTTGGTGAATGACTCGAGGTGAAGGCTCTTCAGACAGCACGGCGACCTGCAACGGATGGCACATTGGCATTTTGGCACTCCATGAGGAAACGTCAGTGTTTTAAATCGCCGGTTAAGACATTTAGCGATCAAACTTCTTTAATAGTTACTTCCTCCGTTTCATAATGTAAGACTAGTGTCTAGATTCATTAACAACTATATGAATGTGAGCAATGCTAGAAAGTCTTACAATATGAAACGGATGCAGTAACAGTGAACTAAATGAGACTATATATAGCGACAAATAGCAGCTTAATTATAAATGAAAGCAAATAGTTAGTGCCTACTTAAACAGCTATAGCCGGAGACAATGACAGCTATTACTGCATATTTAAAATCTTAGGAAATGAATTACAAATTCCCAATCACTTTGAGACATCTCCATATACAAGTTTGTACACAATCTAATGAACATAAAGCAAATATTCATACAAACTTCCTTTCAAAAAAAATATTCATACAAAGTTACATAAAAGTTAAGCATCTAAAAAACTCCCAGAGCCAATTAAACGGAAATGTATTAAAAAATTATTGTGTTTGATATAATAAATTGTATATCAATCTTTATTCGATTAAAACAATTACCATGAAAGATTAAAAAACAATTAGAATGGGATCGACTCTGATCTACGCAAGGACAAAATCTGTACTAAAAAGTGGCACAAGAATCATTAAGTCTGTACTACATATATATAAATTGAGAGAGATCGCTTCGCTTGTTTGCCATACCTGCGCCTTACATACTTGAGGAGCTGATTGGTAATAAAATCCCTACCCTTGAACACCTCGAGCTGCCAGTTAGATCTCTTCACAGCCCGCTTCCCCATTGCAGTCAGAATGCCCAAGTTCTTCGAGCCCATGTCCCTGTAGAGCACGGCCATGTCCACGGTTCGCCACAGCTCAGGCACCTTGGCAGCGTCGAGCCATGAGTGGCACACGAGACCTGCGCCAATGAGGACCTCGACGGCGCCGAGCTTGGTGAAGACAACCGAGAGCGCGTCCAGAAGCAGCTCCGACCAGTCCCTCATCTCCGCCGGCGGTTCCGGCACCGGCACCGGCTCCATATTCCACGGCAATTGCGTCGGCAAACACCACCTGAACACTGACAACAATCGAGCATATGTAATGTTGCCAGTGGCCACTGATTAGATTGAGATTCAGATTGGGGTGAAAAGATGAAACTGAACTTAATCCATTACCTTCGCTGACCACTTGATTCAGATATGATTCTAGTGTGCAGGAATACTGGAGAACTCCTCTTCTGAGGGAGAAAATTGTGATTTTGCTATCGCAAAAGAATGGTTTCGCTGGAATACTATCCCTTCAAAGTGATTCATTAAAATGCTATTCTAAACTAAGGGGTGTTCACTGAAATATTATTTTGGATCTTTTTGTTAGTACTAATGTTTTTACTCTCTTTTAGTTTTTCTCCGGACCAAAATGCCCTCGCCTCTATGTCCTCCTTTCGCCCAGGATAATGGCAGGTTAACACGTGCTTTGCTAGAGCAATATATTTTGCTTTCACATTTGTACAATAAAAATGGTGTGTAGTCCAGTTCAGCCACAAGCGCGCATACACATCAAGATTTTTCTCACTCCAAGTTATAAAGATATAATGGAGAAGCTAGCTTAACCCATAAAATTTGGGCATGAAAAAATTGTAAAAACAAAATAGAACAAAATTGGACAGCATGTATGACATAATATTGAATAGCATGTGGTTCACAAAATACCTCACATAACAATGGTTCACAACATAACAGTGGTTCACATGCACCATGGTTCACAACATAGTAGTGGTTCATATGCACCATGGTTCACAAAAGACCTCACATAACAGTGCCTCACATGCACCAACAACAAAGGTGGTTCACATACACCAACATGGTTCACATGCACCATGGTTCACAAAATACCTCCTATAATTGTGCCTCACATGCACAGCACACAATATTAGTTGTGATACAGGAGGAGCTATTCAAGTAGGCTTCATTTTCTTGGGTGTGAGCTTCTTTGTACATGTCCTCTTTGATGGAGCCGGCTGTGAGCTTGATTCAGCAATATTCACCCTCCTTTTACATGTCACTTGTGAAGCAAGTGCCGGTTGTGAGCTTGTCCCTCCTTGTTCCATTAACATTGCAAGCCGGCTACAAGGAAATTGTTGTTGTTAAGCAAAAATACATCTAGGTTAATGTAATTGTAGTTGGTTGTACTAACCGTCTTGTCACAATTGTTGGGCTTTCTTGAATAATGGTTTCTACAGTAGGCCTAGTTGGGGTATATGGTATAGGAGCAGCATGAGCAGCAGGAGCAGCATAAGCATCAGGAGCAGGGGCATAAACCACATCAGGAGCATTAGGAGCAGGAGCCGGCCCATACCTCGTTGTGTTCCATCTTGCCTTTCGTTTCCTGCAAGGTGAGGTATATATATTTTAATTTTACAAGGAAAAACAAATGTAGTACAACAGAAAAAAATAATGACATTTAGACTTACGGCTTCTTCTTTGTACCATTGAGCTTACACTTGTAGCTAGTTTGTCCATGACCCAACTCACCACATTTTTTACACCTTTTTCCTCTAATCGTTGCCTTCTCTTTGGCATTGTCTTTAGGCTTGCTACCACCACCTTTCAAGCAACCCTTGATCCTTAGTTTCCTGTACCTTCCTAGGTTCCTTTTTGCAAGGGGTGCACCAAGAACAAAAGGTAAATCCACCTTAGGCCATTGTGATTTGTCAGGGAGTGGCTCAATAATTGAGTTGTATGCATTCCAGAATAGGGCCACAGAGTAGTAGGGATTAATGTACTTCTCCAACTTTACATCCCTAATTTGCTAGGAGGTAATCACTGCCAAGGCATGTCGGCAAGGCTTGCCAGTGTGTTGCCACTCCTGACATGTACAAGACTGCTCATGTGTCCTCACAACATGCCTAGCATGGCTGCTACTATTGTCCCAAACCTCAGCAGTGGTTATGTCAGCATGCACAACTGACAAGTGGCCTAACCCTCGAGTCCTAGCTCTCAACTGGTGCAAATTAGCAGGTAGAATTGTACCTGTGAATTTATTTCCAATCCTTCTCCTCCTATTCCACAGGGTCATTATCATCTCCCTACATGTGTCAGCAAGCTCACAAATAGGTAAGGCCTTTATATCTCTGATCCAATTGTTAAAGCACTCTGCAAGATTGTTAGTGACATAATCACATTTAATTTCAGCATTGAAGCCACTCCTGTACCATATCAATTTATGGCAAGTGTCAAGCCAGAGAGCCACATCAGTGCATGCTTTCTTAATTGTATCCATACACTCCTCGTGCACTTGTGCCCTATATGATCTAGCTGCAGGATACATCTCTTGGAAGACAGATCCACCATATTTCTTGATTAGATTTTGCATAAGGTGGTTAAAACATTCTCTATGTTCAGCCCAAGGGAAAACTCGGTGCACTGCAATCTCTAGTCCTTTGCATGCATCAGTACAAATTGCAAGAGGAGATACTTTTCCTATGGCCTTAAGCAATTGAATCATAAACCAGGTCCAATTATCAGTAGTCTCAGCATCAAAGAAACCAAAAGCAAGAGGGTACATCCAGTTGTTTCCATCTATAGCTATGGCAGATGCTAAATGTCCTTTCCACAAACCATTTAGGGCAGTTGAGTCTACACTAAGGTATGGCCTACATCCAGTTAGAAATCCAGTAATGCATGGACTAAATGCACAAAAGAATCTGTTAAAATAAACCTTCCCATCAACCTCAACAGTGTCAATCTCAATAACACTACCTGGGGACCTCTCCATGACTGCAGCCCTCCACCTATACAACATATGGAAATTCTCTTCCCAACTACCATGCAATTGGATCATAGCCAAACTCCTACCCTTAGCCACAGTATCATAATTGATTTTGCATTTCTGATCCTCTTGCAACCTTTTTTGCAGTTCTTTAGGGCCCATACCTGAATCTGTCCCAAGGATATGGATGGCCTTGGAAGCAACCCAGGCGCTGGTTGGTGTGGTAGTCTTCCTTCTACCGCTAGATGTACACGTGTGATGATTAGTAAACTTTGTCACCTGCAAAATTAAAACAAATAAAACATGGCATTAGAGCAAAATAAAGAAAACAACATAGAAGTGAAAATATTAATGACATTAGGAAAAAAAGTACCATTACGGTTCGCTCGTCAGCCTGTCTACGCCCATTCACATGCCAAGGGGAATCACTTGCCCCTTTGCATGCTCCTACATATTTTTTACGATCTGTCGCCTTTACCCAAAGTTCAAACTCCTCATTGATGGCAAACTGTCTAACCGCCAATCTAAAGACCTTCATGTCGGGATACACAGTTCCTTTGACCAAGGATGGCTTATTCGCGTCATTCACCATCATTCTTTCTCCGGCAACCTCGTCCTCGACCGGAGGCTCAACCTCAACCTCATTTTCATCGTGATTCCCATTTTCAGCACCATTGCCATCGTTACCATTACCCTGTTCAGTTTCAGCCGCCGCTCGGAGCATTCTCGGCGGCTTCATCCTCAGCCCTCAAACCCAAAAGCACGTACAACTGGTCATCATCTACGATGTTTACCCTTCCTTCCTCATCTAACGGTTCGATAATCTGTAGGTTTTCCCAATCAACAATAGGTGGTGGATGTGGTTCTGGCTGTGGCTGTTCTCCTTGAGTAGGAGGAGAACTACCACCACTATCAGGTTCATCAGTAGGCGATTGTACAACTACTAATTGACTCCCAGGCTCCTCCTCGAGCCTAGAGAAAAAGAAGCAAATAATTGCAAACAATAGTCAGATCTATCTAACCCCTTACTTCCAGCAAATCAATCGTGCAATCATGTCACTGAAAAAAATAGAGAAGTGCATACCTCCCAACAATCTGTAGCCAGGTGGAGTCATCCATGGAGCCAAACCCTAACCACACATTGAGGGAGGGGAGGAGGGAGTGGAGGGCGGGAGGAGCTGACCGAGGGGCAGCGGTGGATGGGGGCGGCGGATAGGGGTGGGGGTGGCGGCGGATGGGGGCGGTGGCGGAGGCGGATGGGGGCGGCGGCGCTGACTGGGGGAGGACGAGGTGGGGGAGTGGCAGGGGCGGGGGCCGGCGCCGGAGACGAAGCCGATGTGGAGGCACGCTGGTGTCGCCTCTGCCGATGCCGCTCCCAGCTTCTCCCTCCTCAGTCAACACCGACACTGGACGGCTGGAGAGATCGATTCGATCTGATGATAAGGACACAAGGGTATTTTTGGTCTGAACAAAACTTAAAATAGAGTAAAATATATTTCTAGCAACCAAAAAGAACCAAAATAGTATTTCGGTGAACACCCCTTAGTTTAGGATAGCATTTTAATGAATCACTTTGAAGGGATAGTATTTCAGCGAAACCAATCTTTTGCGATAGCAAAATCACAATTTTCTCCTTCTGAGGACGCCATATTTTATAGGGGTGAGATGGCGATGAATTGATCGTTTCGTTTTCACCTCTGGTTGTCTGGTTGAGCGGGTGAAGATAAAAGGTTTCTCTCCGTGTTGGAAAAATAATGCCTGCGACCTCTCGCCTTCTGGAGTTGTGGCATTGATGATGCACTGCAAATTGATCAGGTGCATGCGATTCGTTAAGTGAGCGGCAGCAGAACTCCAACCGTCGATTAGGGGCAAAATTATATAAAAAAAAGTTTTAAAATGTCACTAGACTGGGAAATTTTATTATTCTCCTATCAACGGGTTCGTATCCTGGAATGGCTGAGAAGCACGGTGCTCGTGACATTCGGATGATCTCAGCCGTCCGATCCACAGCGAACGGACAGGATTATTCGCTACAGTACTATGAAACATAAGAGATGCAAGAGTCTCAAGAGTTTGATCTACCTCTTAGTGGGTAAAACATCCAGGAAGGGGGTGATGAAGAGAAGATGGTTCTGACGGATGATTCTCAAGAAAAATATGATAAACTTGTACTCCCTCCGTACTCGTAAAGAAAGTTGTTTTGGACAACGACACGGTCTCCAAAACACAACTTTGACTTTTTGTTTTTAAAAAATATTTATTGAAAAGTGATATATGTATATTTTTATGAAAGTATTTTCCAAGATAAATCTATTCATATAATTTTTATATTTTCAAACTCAACAATTTGAGAGTTATTTCATGATTTATATTCCCAATGATTGACTTAAACATTGCCCTAAACGACTTTCGAGGGAGTACTTATTAAGAGTTTTATAGTAGTGATGTGAGCCAATATTCCATATTTTCCTTTATCTTTTATTTTTTTGCATGTGCTTATAGTTGGTTTAAGCCTAACTAGATGGGAAGCCCGCGCAATTGCGCGGCTAGCACCCATATAAAATTATCTATTTTTTAATATATGATATTACTTAAAATTTGTTAAATAGCTATCACGTTGGCTTAGAACCTTAAAAGATTAATTGAACCTTATCATCCTTCAATTTTTAATTTTATGATAGTCACATTAGCGGCTACCTCTTACTCTTTTATCACCCTTCTATTTTGTTTGCCTGATCTACCACGGCTTCTATCTATCCTTCCTGAAATTTTTTAAAAATGGACCTTCTACTTTTTAGAGTCAATTATCTCGTCGGGTTCTTGTTAACAACGAAATTTGGTAAGCCCAAAGTCATTTGGTAAGCAGATCTCCCAGGCCAGTGTGTATTTTTGCATCAACACGCTTTTGGCACGCCTGGTGGGACACGAGTTTTGCACCCAACATGTCTGAAGAAGAAGTCAATACCAAGATCATGGTCATGGTGGAGAATTTAACGGAGGAACAGAGGCAATAGATGGAGCAGTTTTTAACTGATTTTCAAATATGTTGTCTTCAATGTTTCATTATGACACCAGAAGGGCCAGTTCAGAAGACTCGATTCCCCAAGCCGATAGTTGAAATACTTCAAGATACAGTTGATGAAGCGGTTCATCGCGCATTGTTTGATCAGTCTGGAGTTTTGATGAATACTATACAAGATGTGATCAAGAAGAATGATTTGGCCGATAGAATTGCAAAGATAATAGACGAGCAGTTTGGAATCAGACCTAAGGAACATACTTCTGTGTATCGGCTGCCATATCCTGAGTGGTTTAATAGGGTGTCATTGCCACACCGATACAAGGTTCCAAATTTCTTCCCGTTTTCAGGGCAAGATGATACATCTACAATGGAATACATCAGTCGATTCTTAGCACAATGTGGGGAGGCATCGGCTGAAGAAGTTCTAAAAGTTAGATTTTTTCCATTGTCTTTGACTGGATCGGCTTTCACATGGTTTTCATCGCTACCATCAGATTCTATCCAAGGATGGGCCGATCTTGAGAAGCAATTTCATGACTATTTCTTTGCTAGAATCAAAGAGTTGAAGCTTTCAGATTTAATATCGGTTGAGCAGCAAGAAGGAGAATCGACTATGAAATATATTCAGAGATTTCGTAATGTCCGCGGCCAATGTTATAGTTTGAGTCTAAGTGATGAGCAACTCGCAGATCTTGCATTCCAAGGATTGTCAGCACCTATCAAAGAGAGATTCTTCTGCCACGAATTTGACAGTCTAGCTCATTTAATGCAGACAGTATCGGCTTATAAAAGCCGATTGCAAGAAGCAAGGGAAGATCGATAAGACATAGGAGAATTTTGGAGCATGAGTTCTCACACTCCAAAACTGGGGGGCATGTGTTAATGACGAAATTTGGTAAGCCCAAAGTCATCATCGGCTTAGAATCAGTATCGGCTTTAGAGTTATGGAATCAGCCGATGGGAGTCATCGAATCGCCAGCAACCGTGTTCTCGATGGAATCGGATCAACTAAAGGGAATTTATCCAGCAGAGTCCGAGTTCAAGAAGGATGCAGCATGGCAGTTTATCTATTAATTAGGAATAGTTTGTTAGTTTCCTTTTATCTTTAGGAAAGTGTGTTTAGTGTCTGATAAGGACTTTATGTCTTCCTTTTATCTGTAGGATAGTTTCTTTCTTGTCCGACAAGGACTTGTATCAACCCATGGGTATAAATATGTACACCCGGGGTCTATGTAATCTATCAATCTCGATCAATAATACTCTCGGCGCATCGCCACCCTCTTTCTTGAGGTTTTTACTTATCAACCAGCGGAATTTGGCACCTGACGCGGGGCTGCATCGGCTTTCGATCTCCGGCGAAGGGGTAAGTCCTACGTTCCGCCGGCCCTGGTGAATCCTTGGATAGAATCTGATGGTAGCGATGAAAACCATGTAAAAGCCGATCCAGTCAAAGACAATGGAAAAAATCTAACTTTCAGAGCTTCTTCAGCCGATGCCTCCCCACATTGTGCTAAGAATCGGCTGATGTGTTCCATTGTAGATGTATCATCCTGCCCTGAAAACTTGGAGAAATCTAGAACTTTGTATCGGTGTGGCAATGGCACCCTATCAAACCACTCAGGATATGGCAGCCGATACACAGAAGTATGTTCCTTAGGTTAGATTCCAAACTGCTTCTCTATTATCTTTGCAATTCTATCGGCCAAATCATTGTTATATTGATATTCTTCATCATGCCCATATTGACGAAGTTCTTCTGGCCGATATTGATATGCTTGCCCCTCGAGCTGAATCTTTTGAGCAACTATTTCAGGAACTATCTTCTTGATCACATCTTGTAGTGTACTCATCAAAACTCCAGACTGATCAAATAATGCGCGATGAACCGCTTCATCAACTGTATCTTGAAGTATTTCAACTATCAGCTTGGGGAATCGAGTCTTCTGAATTGGCCCTTCTGGTGTCATGATGAAACATTGAAGACGACGCATTTGAAAATCAGCTACAAACTGCTCCATCTGTTGCCTCTGTTCCTCCGTTAAATTCTCCACCGTGACCATGATCTTTGCATTGACTTCTTCTTCAGACATGTGGATATAAAATTCGTGGTCCCACCAGGCGTGCCAAAAGCGTGTTGACGAAAAAATCTAACACACCGGCCTGGGAGATCTGCTTAGCTCCAGTGCAGGTCCAAAGGTTGGTGAGATGCGAGCGTGCCAGTCAGTTTGATCCTGCAACTGACAAGATATGTAAACAGTAGATCAAACAGTCGATCGGCTAAACAGCCGATGGAGCAATCTCAGCCGATGCCGATACTAGCCGATAGCGATCGGGTTTTGAGCTATCGGCTATATGTCCAATGTAGATTCTGATACTTGATGTAAATAATGATATAAAGGCAATCGGCTGATGATGGTGTAATAAAATGACAATATAATCCAAAAGAAACCAATCGGCTAGCAATGATATGATAGAATAAGCACTGATCCAAAGGTTAAAGCATATATCGGCTGGAGGTCCGATGCCATAAAATCCACAGATTAGATTAAACAGTGAAACCTTTGTTGTCATCGGCTAAATCCAACTTGTATATATATGTAATCCTTATGAGTCGATGCAACGTCCAGATAACTTATCGGCTAGCACCCCGATAAAACATTAGCATGAACCTATCGGCTTCACAAGACTTATATTATCAACAACAATCTAGTAGGTCGAACCTAACCGATGCAGCACGAGATTGTATATGATAATCTAATACTCGATGAGCCGATAGATCTGTCTAATGTGATGGATATAACAAATCTATTTATAACAGCATTGCGATTATAGAGATATATCGGCTAAGATAGATGATCAGACCTAATCGAGACAGTTCCAACTAAACCGACGCGTCTCTAAACACAGTGCAATTAGAGATAAAATGTAGATATCAGGTAGGCAAATATATTAACCAAACCAGAGTGATCCATGAGATCGAAACGATGCAGCCTTGAACAACACCAACGTAGCCAATAGATTCACCAAGGCCGGCGGAACGTAGGACTTACCCCTTCGCCGGAGATCGAAAGCCGATGTAGCCCCACGTTAGGTGCCAAGTTCCATCGGATGATAAGTAAAAACCTCGGTAAAGAGCGTGGCAATGCGTCGAGAGTATTGTTGATCGATAGATTGATAGATTACATAGACCCCGGGTGTACATATTTATACCCATGGGTTGATACAAGTCCTTGTCGGACAAGAAAGAAACTATTCTAAAGATAAAAGGAAAACATAAAGTCCTTATCGGACACTAAACACACTTTCCTAAAGATAAAAGGAAACTAACAAACTATTCCTAATTAATAGATAAACTGTCATGCCGCATCCTTCTTGAACTCGGTCTCTTCTGGATAAATTCCCTTTAATTGATCCGATTCCATCGAGAACACGGTTGTTGGCGATTTGACGACTCACATCGGCTGATTCCAGGACTCTGAAGCCAATATTGATTCTAAGCCGATGATGATTTTGGGCTTACCAAATTTCACTGTTAAGACATATACAATCTCGTGTTGCATCGGTTAGGTTCGACCTATTAGATTGTTGTTGATAATATAAGTCTTGTTAAGCCGATAGGTTCATGCTGATGTTTTATCGGGGTGCCAGCCAATAAGTTATCTGGACGTTGCATCGGTTTATAAGGATTGCATATACATATAAGTTGGATTTAGACGATGACAACAAAGGTTTCATTGTTTAATCTAATCTGTGGATTTATTGACGTCGGTCCTGCAGCCGATGTATGCTTTAACCTTCGGATCAGTGCTTATTCTATCATGTCATTATTAGCTGATTGGTTTCTACTGGATTATATTGCTACATTATTTATCATCACCAGCCGATTGCCTTTGTTTATATCATGTCGGAATCTACATTGGACATATAGCCGATCGCTTAAACCCTATCGCTATCGGCTGGTATCGGCATCGGCTGGAACTACTCCATCGGCTTGACAGCCGATCGGCTTATTGATCTGCTATTTATACATCTTGTCAGTTGCAGGGTCAAACTGAGTGGCACGCCCGCATCTCACCAACCTTTGGTCCTGCTCAGGAGCTAAGCAGATCTCCCAGGCCAGTGTGTGTTTTTGCATCAACAATTCTGTTATTATATTTTTTAGAAGTGTCATCAAACGTCGCCATTGCACTCCTTCATGACCCGTCTGATGTCTCCCCTATTTATTGTTATTGGGATTTTAAAAATTAAACATAACTATCATTGGGGTTCATTTTTTTTACTTGATAGAAGTCCCACCAACCGCCGCTACCTCCGGCACTGTATTCCTGTATGGCCCGCCCATTGCCTCCCCTATTTATTATCATTGAGATTTAAAAATCGAATATGTTTGTCACTGCGATTTATTTTTTACTTTTTAGAAGTTCCGCCAACCGTCGTGACCATGCTGTCTAACGGTCTATCTGTCGTTCCTCCTATTAATCGCCATTGGGATTCTATCTGTAGTTTTGCTTATAGTTTTAAGATGTCCCATCAACCGCCGCCATCTTACTCTTCTATAGTCTACTGCTTATGTCCTTTTTGTTGTTATTTGCCATTGTTGAGTTTTAGATGAACTACTTTTTTTTTTTGAAAATTTCATATTTTTCATTCCAATATTTTTTTACTTATAAAGTGTATTCCTACTTGAACTCCTATATTTTTTTTCTATTTTTGAAATTTATTTTATTTTTTATATTGAATTTTAATTAATCTTGTATTCAGTTCTATATGAAATCTTCTTCCAATATTACTTATTTTTAATTCCGAATTTCAGTTATTTTTAAATTGTATTCCGACTTGAACTCTTATAATTGTTTTTCTATTTTCAGAATTTATTTTAATTTTTATTCTTTATTTTAATTTATCTCGTATTCGATTCTATATGAAATCTTCTTACAATATTACTTATTTTAAATTTCGAATTCCAGTTATTTCTAAATTATATTCGTACTTGAACTCTCTTCTTTTCTTTTCTAATTTCAAGTTTTATTTTATTTTGTATCAATTGAAAATTATCTATTTTTACACATGATTTTATTTAAAATTATCACTCCCATGATTCTAATAATTTTATAGTTTTCAAATGCCATGCCAATCGCTACCCCTTTCTCCTTTGACACCTTTTTATTTGCTTACTCGATCTACCACTACTTATATTCATCCTCTTTAGAACTTTAAAAATTAGGCCTTATAGTTTTTAGAGTTCATTGTCTTCTTGGGTTTCATTTTCACCAATCTACTAGTCTATGGCCCATCCACTGCCACATCTCTTTATTTTCATTAGGATTTTAAAAATCGTACATAATTATTGTACGTGGCTCTAACTCTGAATTCAGTTTTTTCTGGAATTTTTGGGTGTATCACCTGGTTTTTATCTTTTTAAAAAAAATTCGTCAATTGAGCAAGATCTATTCAAATTTGAATTTTTCCCCCCAAAATATTTACCTCTATAGAAATTGCCTAACCGATATATTAAATCCTGCTCTGAAATGGCACCATCATTTGAAACGGAATTGTAATCTGTCTGGTGACAGATTTTAGATAGCTGTATTTTCACTTTTTAGGCCGTTGATCTTTCTTTGAGATTGGTACAATCTTGGATGGAACAAGTTCACTTAAGCTCCCTTAACTCGTGAACGAATCTGATTTTCGTCCTTCAACTGAAAAACCAGATACAACGGGCCCCTCAACTATCAAAACCGTTGCAAAGTGGGTCCCTCAGTGGTTTCGATGGTGGTTTTGGCTGATGTGGCGCCTGCATGGCTGGTTTGACTTTGTCTTCATTCTATGTGGCGGTGATGTGGCAATGAAAGCAAAAAATATATAAAAAATAGAAACAAAAAAATATGAGGCCCACATGTCAGTCAGACAAAATGAAAAAATAGTAGGACGCACATGTCAGTGGGTCCCACCCTCCTCTCTATCCATGCTGCGGACAACGAGAGACGAGGGACCGCCGAACCGGCACCTCCTTCTCTCTCTCCCTCCCGGCCATCCTTCCTCGCTAGCCGGCGGGCGCGCACGGAGAGGGAAAAAGCCAGCGGTCGGCGAGAAGGCGGAGACGGTCGCTGGCCGGCGCCCGCTACGAGGGGGACGGAGGAGACGGGGATGCCGACAAGGGGACAGAGGCTGGCGAGCCGCCGCTCCTCTTCCGTCCTCCCGCCGGCCGTCGACCCCCGCGCACCGCCGCTCCTCTCCCTCCCTCCCGTTGGCTGGTGCGCGTTGCCTCCTCCCTCGCGACGCTCTCGTCGGCCACCCTCTCCGCCGGTGCGGTGTGCGCTGCCGCTCCTCTCCCTCCCACCCGTTGGCCGGCGCGAGCCGCGGACCCTCTCCCACTAGCAGCCGCGCGCTGCTCCCCTTGCCAGTCCTTGCGCGCTGCCGCTCCTTACCCGTCTTCTCGCTGGCCGCCGACCCAAGCGCACCCCCGCTTCACCGCGAGGGCGAGGGAGAGCGAAAAGGAAGAAGAGGGAGAGCCCCGCTCCTCTCCCTCCCTCCCTGCCGGCCGGCGTGCGCCGCTGCTCCTCTCGCGTCGGAGGTACACGCGGTGTCCTTGGCCAGGTCATCGCCGCTCCGCCCGCCCCTCCGCTCTTCGCGCCGGCGACGCCGCCGCCGCCGACACTGCTTCGCCGCGAGGACGAGGGAGAGCGTAGAGGAAGAAGAGGGAGAGCCCCGTTCCTCTCCCTCTCTCCCGCCGGCCGGCGTGCGCCGCCGCTCCTCTCGCGTCAGAGGTACGCGCGGCGTCCTTGGCTCCGCTCGCCCCTCCGCTCCGCCGCTCTACTGCGAGGACGAGGGAGAACGGAGAGGAAGAGGGAGGGCTGAGAGGGGAGAGAATGACTTGTGGGGCCCACTGGGCCCCATCATTTGTTTTGTAGCTGACATATGGGCCCACGTGGGCCTCGCTATTTTTAAGTTATTTTTTTATAGCTGACAGGTGGGCCCACGGTTTTTATTATTTTTCTGAGATATAATTGCCACGTAAGCGTCACGTCAATGCTAGGACGGAGACCTAGTCAAACTAGCCACGTAGGCGTTACATCAGCTAAAACCGCTATCGAAACCACTGAGAGACCCGATTTGCACCCGTTTTAATAGTTGAGGGACCCGTTGTATCTGGTTTTCCGGTCGAAGGACGAAGATCAGATTCGTTAACAAGTTAAGGGACCTTAAGTGAACTTATTCCATATTGGATTGGGATCATCTAGTTTGTTCTTTTGGGCTTTACGTGGGCCCCACTTTACTGTTTAATTTCGAAAACCGCGCCTGTGTAGTGTGTATTTTAGTACTCCACTGGCCACTGACGAGATGGAGATTTTGGGGATTTCTTTCTCCGAGGGAGGTCGAGAGAACTCTCATTCTCTTCGTCTCCTGGTCTGGAGGCGACGCCGACGCGGCAGCGATTCGACCTCGCCGTCGTCGGTTCGACGGTGATTTTTTTTGTGCTCTTTGCTTTTTCTTCTACCGGTTGTTTGTTTCGAAGTTGTGCTACTTTGCTCGATGTAGCTAATGGATTTGGTGCATTTTTTGCAGTCGATTTCGATCTGTGAGTTCGGGCTTGCCATCGTTGATTCGCCAGTGATCTATTCCTTTATCCGGTGAGTCTACTTGTGCTATTCTGTTTCCTCGTTGTTCTCGATTCAGACTGGTCTTCTCCTCGTTGTCGATTTGGATTTGTGATGTGGTTGATTTTCTAATGTGAAACGGTGAACCCTTTTTCCCATTTAAATCTGTACGATGACCTCCTTCGTTGTGAGTTTTTCCCCATTCATTTAGGGTATTTTAGATATTTTAGCGTGAGTTGTGTTATGAATGTGCATTTTTTTTGTTGATTTAAAACTGTGATGGGCGAGTTCCTCATGGTTTGAGATCTTTTTGTTCTGAAACGTTCAGATCCATCCTCTAGATCTGTATTTTCTCTATGCGTGTGCTGCCTTGAGAAGCGGTTGCGGGAGGTGATGCATGGATGTGTGATATGTTTTTTTTTTTAATTTTTAGTAGAAGCTTAGTTGATAGCTAGATCGGCGATTTGTAGACAATGAGGAGCCCGAGCCCTCCTCTGTGAATCAAATCTTTTTTTTTTTTTTTACTGAAGCTTGTTATAATATTGGAACTGTTTAGTATCAGAAATCCTCCCCAGCAATTTGAATATTTTTTGTTTTCTATAAATCAATCCATACCACTATATGGTGATGTTTGTGTTACTTTTAATAGATGCGTAATCAAAAGGGTGAATTTCTGATGACAAGTGCTCGTCAGGGTCTGATTTTATGCTTGATGAACATGAATATGCATGCGATTGTAATGATAAGTCTGATAATTATTACCTTTTATCATAAAGTGAATCATAATCATTGACCTTAATATTGACCTGATTGAATTTTTCATTGTGCACCTGATTGAATTTTTTTAGGAAATTATGTACAATAATATTGACCTGATTGAGATTACTTAACTTCTGATGTTGATGAGATGTGATAATTTTGATATGTGATGTTTTACTTGTTTATTTGTGATATTTTGGTTCTATGATGAAAAATGGTGTAGCAGATATATTAAATGAAATAATATAAATATCTTGGGGTTGCAACATAGCTTGAGTATCTCAATATATCTTCCTGTACATTAAATGAAATATATAATTTTTCTATTCAATTGCCTCTTGTGAATTTTGAAGTAATACTCAAAGTTTTATTCAACACAATTTCATACCTGCATATCTGAAATTGTAGGCTGTGATGAAATGATTTGTTCCATTAGGCTTGTGTATGAAATGTTTGAAACCTAAAAATTTAATATTGTATCAAATACTTAACAAAAATAGTGCAAATATATGTAATTTTAGCAATACTGACATTTAAACTCACTAAATTGTTGCCTGATCCCAAAATAGACAATTCATCATATAGAGGATAGTTGTTAGAGTCAACATTTGCATATGCTGTATTTCCTGTATTGGTTATTTTTTTCTGATAAAAATGGCATTTGTTAGTGTAAATTTAAAACTTTAATGTAAATGACGCGATAATGTTACTTACTCCATCTTTTAAATTTGAAAAAAAATCAATCTCTGCATTTGATTGCTTTTTTAGTGTGATCTGTTGAGATCATTTTTCTCAATCCTTTGATCTGGTATAAATGAATTGAAAAGATAATAAAATGCTAAATCTGTATGAAACAAATGAATATTTGCATTTAATTTTGATCAAGTAATTAAAGGAGGTATGCATGTAATGAATTTGAATGAAGCAAGATAATTATCATTTACCTGGGTTTGATGCTTTTTTGTTCCTATGAATGGTTTATTCTTTTTGTGATAAATCATTTGTGATACCTGCAAATAAAAAGTTTGTTTGTGACTTGGATTAAAATATATAACATTCTGAAATTCAAATTCTTAATTTTGTAGTTTGATGCTGGAACTATTCATTCCACAAATTCCTGAATTTGATTATTTCTGATGCCTGCTATCAACATCTGTAGTTTGATTAGTTAATATGGTCCAGTACTCCTGACTTGTCAACTTCAATGGCAATATACTAATATGCACAGAAAAGGTAAGATTTTAAATAAGTATTAAAATTAAAATTTACATGTTGTATGTATTACAATTAAATTTTCTTATTATGTAAATTTATCACAATTGTACTGTAATTTTTGTTTTCAAAAGAATAAACCTGAATGAACATTGTAGGCTTTTTGACATGCTTTTTGTACCTCAACATTTATACTTTAAGATTGTCTTCTAGTTCTGTATGTAAGTAATTTAGTTATAGATTTCATCAGGTTTAAAGTGCATGCGCAGTTGAACATTGTGTAGTGCTGCTGTATGGACCTATTTAATCAGTTTAAAGTGCATGTGAAATTAAGGTTTAATCTAGTTGAACATTGTACAAATTTGATTGCTACATGATCGAGTACAAATATGTTTTAGTCTAATTGAATTGATTGAGTAATAGCATGTATTTGATTCAGTATATGATGTATGCACTAAAATTTACATGTTATATGTATTAAAATTAGAGTAAATTGCACTTTGCATCAGGTAGATTGACATTGTTTTCACTTCCCACCGAGTTTGGCGTATACTTTCACTTTGCACTAGAGGATGACAAACTAACTTTCACGTAACACCAGGCTGTAGGATTTGGGTTGAACCAGGCGCACCGGCCCTCATCCACGCTGGCTCCTTTATTCCACGCTGTCTCGCGCGCACGCGTTCACCATGTTGCCGAAGTTGGTTGCGATAGATGCCCCAATCGAATCGCGCGGGAGAAACCCACAACCCACCATCGTGATCCGATTATCTAGTCAATTTCGTATGTGCAGCGACGGCTGTGGGTGTTCACGCAGAGAGCAATCTCGTTCTCATGGCGAGCGGCAGGGCAGGACGTTCTCAGGCGCAGGCGCAAGAGCACATCAGGATCTAGTTCCTAGGTGCAGCAGGAGAAGGTGTTGAGGTTTTGACGTGGCAGGAAGGGAGGCTCTCAAGGTGCTGTTGCCTGTAGTTGCTTGTTCAAAGGTAATTAGTTAAGCTTTTAAGTATAAATTCATATGAGGAACACAGGTGTTGTTTGATCATTATCTTAATGATCAACTTTCTACCTGAGCACCTACCACATACAGCCGCGGCTGCATAGGCGAAACAAATGTTCGACTAGATGATCGGATCACGATGATGGGTTGTGGGCTTCTCCCGCGCAATTCGATCGGGGAATCGCAACCAACTTCACCAACGTGGTGAACACGCGCGAGACAGCGTGAAATAAAGGAGCCAGCGTGGATGAGGGCCGGTGCGTCTGGTTTAGTCCAAATCCCACAGCCTGGTGTTATATGAAAATTAGTTTGTTATCCTCCGGTGTAAAGTGAAAGTATCCGTCGAACCCGGTGTAAAGTGAAAACAGTGTCAATCTACCCGGTGCAAAGTGCAATTTACTCTTAAAATTACAGTTTTCTTATTCTCTAAATTTATCACAAATGTACTGTAATTTTTGTTTTCAATGGAATGCAACTGAATTAAGATTGTCGACATGCTTTTTCTTTTTGATTGTTGACAGGCTTTGTTTTGTTTATTTGAGCTAAACCTGCCGATATTTCTTGCTATATTTGGGGCTATGATTTGACTGTGTGTTAAGTTTTGAACTTTTTAATATGTTTGGGCTTTAGAATGGGATTCCTGTACATCTCTATAGTGATTGGGCTCCGAATTTTTTTTTGGGTCTCTGGGCTTATCGATAGGCTTTGATTAAAATTTGTCTTTCGTAATATGTTTCAAATATTATTTGGGCTTTAGAATAGGCTTCCTGTACATTTCTCTATATTTGGGCATGTGATTAGGCTCCGAAAAAAATTCAGGGTCTCTTGCGTATTGACAGGCTTATTAAACACCATTTGAAAATTGAAATTGAAGTCAATCAACTTACGTACTATTTTGTTTTGTAGAGAACTACTATTAAACATCACACTACCATGTACTTTGAACAAGTAAATATTTTTGATTTTGTCTCAAATTCTTACTAATAATTGATGTATCCAAATCACTGCTTCTTCCTGTTTCTTCATATTCTGTGGTTCCTGCAAAAAAATCATAGTTAATTCGAAATTCAGAATCATAGGGATTTTTATAATTACCTGTTGTGTATTAAATTTGCATTGTTTTTCTCATGTAATTGTAGTGAAAATGTATTATAAATTACATGTCTATGTGAGTCCTACAAATATTGAATTGAGTTCAACCAGTGTTTAATTTCGAACTTGTTTATGGTTTTTTTTTGTAATGCTAAAAGTTGTAATTTCATATCCTGCAAGCACTGATAATTGAAATTGCACTTTATCAACTTCTGTACTGTTTAGTCATCTTGATTCAAATTCTTACCGGTAATTGATGTATCCAAATCATTGCTTTTATCTGCTTCTTCATTTTCAATTGTATGTTTGTTTTTGTGCACTCACCTTTGTTAACAAATCACAAATAGATATAATGCTTCAGTCATTAAGTGAGAGATGCAATTAATGAATAAGAATGAATCCACATAACAATGATTTACCTGGATTTGATGCTTTTTTGATCATATCAATTCTTCTTAGTTGATATTCAGATAGTACTAGATCTAAATTGAGACTAATGTTGTAATTACATGATGTATATATTAAATTTACAGTGTTTTCTTCATGTAATTATAGTGAAAATGTACTGTAATTAGACTTAACACTACTATGAAATTTGGAATGTTAATAAATCTGTTTTTGTCTCCAATTCTTACCTGTAATTGATGCATCCAAAGCACTGCTACCTTCTGCTTCTTCATTTGCCGTGATTCCTGCAAATAAAATCATAGTTAATTTATAGTTCTCAGAACTTTTACCTATAGAATTAATTGGTCAAATTGATTGATTAGGTCAATTACAATTAGCATTCAATTAAGATTAGTTGATGTTCATATAGTACTAGATCTAAATTAAAACTAATGTTCTAATTGCATGATGTATGTATGTATGTCTGTGTGTGTGTGTATAATTACAGTGTTTTTTTCCATGTAATTACAGTGAAAATGTACTGTAATTAGACTTAACACCACTATGAAATTGATGAAATTCA